GGGGGGAGATGAGCGGTAGCGTGACCCCGGGAGCCCACACTCGGAGACCCCCAGCCGGCCCCGTCTCGCCCTCGCGGCCTCACCGTAGAGCCCCCGGGGCCCGCTCTGCCCGGTGGCGGGGTCGGGCGCCGCCCACATGAGCAGGGGGTTCTGCGAGTCTCTGGGGAAGGCGGGGTCGGGCCCCGACGCCAGCTGTCCCCCGGAGAAGCTCCGCAGCGCGTCGTTCCAGGAGTGCGAGGAGCCATAGATGGCGCTGCCGTCCAGCCAGCCGGTCACCTGGTTGGTCTGCGGGGCAAGCGGCGGGTGAGCCGGGGGCCGGGGCCCCAGGGGGCGTCCGGGGCTGGGGAGTGGGCGCCGCTCCCTGCCAGGCCCGCAGCCTGGGCCCCACCTGGCTGGGGTGCGGCCCCTCCCCGCCGCCTCCCCTGCCTCACCAGGTCCCGGGGGTTGCTGGGGCTGCGTCCGGTCTCTGGGTCCCAGCGACTCCTCTGGAAGGGCAGCACCACGTCCCCACGCTGGTCGGGGTCGAACACGGGGTCTCCGGGCGGGATGCGGATGTTGAGGAACTCGGCGGGGCAGCCGGGCGTTTCCACGCTCACCAGGTCGGAGAGCAAGTGATAGCCTGCCAGCAAAGCAGGAGGGGGTGCTAGGGCCAGGGAGGGCCACTTTCCTTCCTACCCTAGGTATCCAGTCTCTCTCCCTCCCCTGAAGCTTCAAAAAACTGAGCAGCCATTGTAGGCAAGTCCAAGCCTTGACTTCAGACACTTCCTCCCAGTCCTTTGTCTCTTCTGCCCTTCTGTGCCTACACCTGGTCCAAGCTGTTGTCGTTGACAGTTTGGCTTTCTCCTTGGTAACTGGGAGGTGCCCTGTGAGTGTTCCTAGGCAAACGGGGTGGCAGCACCAGCTCCAACATGCAGCAGGAGCCACGCATTCCTGATGGGCCAGACACCAATCCTCAGTCACTGGGGTCAGGCCACCATAGCACCCCCTTTTGACTTCCCCTCAGTCCACTCTGCCAGAATCAGAGCCCTGCCCTAAGCCTGTTCTAGAAGCCATGGGGCAAAGCCTAAGAACAGGGCCCCCCAGAAAGTCCCTCCCAGATTATTTTCATGTTTCTGGGTCTGCCACACCTTTACCTCCACCAACAACACAACATGGAGGGATGCCCCTTTTCCCTAATCCCACCCTCAGCTTTCTGCATGGGAAAGATTTCTGCCTCCCCAACCAGACTTCACTTCAGCATGGATCCTCCCTGCACCTGCTTCTACCCCTACCATACCCCACTGCCTCCTCCACCTCTCTCCCTCATCCGTCAGGCCCTCCATCACTTCTCTCTCATCCTCTGACCCCTCTTCACTTGCAGAGGTGTCCAGCTGACCCCACTGGCTTTCTTCCCCCAGAGGTTGAAGTTCTCACCAAAGAAGACCCCCAACACTGTGCGGTTTCGCAGGGAGGCCAGCCCTGCAGGGCCCCTCGAGATGGTGTTGCTAAGGTCTCGGGGGTTGGGCAGGTGGGGTTCTCCCAAGGGCTGGTACACGCCATCTGCATAGCTGGCTGGGACAAGGCGCTGCAGCCGGGAGCCTGGGGTAGAAGGAGTAAGGATAAGGAGGAATCTTCAGGGGGCATTCTTGACCCACTCTCTCCCAGGCTTCCCACCATGTCATGGAATCTAAAACCTTGGAAATGGATGGCCTTTGCTGGTACCTGCCAGGTCTTGCCTCGCAGCAGTCAGTATCACCCTGGCCCTGGGGCTCTGTCCCCACTTGGCTCCTACTTACCTTTGCTGCCCCATCTGTGCTCCATGAGGTTGTTGTACCACCCATCAAATCGCTGCACCTCCCATGAAATGGGGTTCTGAGCGCCTGTGTGAGAATGGAGGGAAGGGGCAGCTGGGCAAGTCAGTGCGTGAGAGGACAGGCAGGCCTGCGGGAAATGGGTGCTGTAAGCCTGGCACTTGGAGCAGTGGAAAGTGGATACCTGGAGTGGATGTGAGAGGTAGGATGCAGAGGGAAAAACCGGGTAAAGCAGTTTCCAAACTCAAGCCAGATCTTTAAGCTGCTCAGTAGGGGAGACATGGCAGGGAGCCAAACGCATGTAGCAGGGAGCAGTGTGTGCTGACAGATGGCCTCAGAGAGGGAGGGGGGCTGGAGGAGAGCAGTGGCGATGGGGAAGAGGATACAGGGCACTTCTACTCCCCTCAGACTTCGGCTCCCTGGGGGGGGACACAACAGGACAGAATCCATCCCGTAACGGTAAGACACCACACAGAGCAAGAGCCAGCCACACTCCATACCTGAGAAGGACACGTCATTCTGTGACCCATCCCTGGGCAGGGTCAGTGTGGTGAGGGACCTAGTCCTCTCTGGCTGAGCAGATCCCAGGGCAGGGGTGTGGTGTTGCTACTGTTTTTTTTTTCCCTAGGTTGTTAGGTAGGACCGGGGACAGACTGGTGATGTGGATAACCTTGCCCCTTCTCTGGGGCATCTTGTCCCCATACAATTCCTCCGCTTGGTCCTTTTGTACTCTCCAAAATGAGGGTCCAGGAGGGAGCACTCAGCCTCTGGGGAAAGAACTAAGGAATGAGGAACAGAGGGAAGATCCAGAATGGAAAATGGAATCAGGGATGGAGCAGGGATCTTTCTGATCAGTAGATCAGATGGCTGGCCTGATTGTTTCCCCCAGACTAGGAGTCTATAGGTCTGGGGCTTCCTCTCTGCTCACCTCAGAGAACAGACACACACATTTGCACACTCACTCAGCAGGGAGCTAGGGGGGAAAATGACTCAGTGCCTGATGTTTGAGCAGAGAACCCAGCTAAGGGTCCAAGATTTGGGGAAGGGCCATACATGTGATATCTAAAAATAAGATGAACCTGTGGCACATAAAGGAGTGAATCTTTGCAGGACGGTACAGGGTAAGTTTCTCTTAGAGATAAGAGGTCAGAGCTGGAGGAGAAAAGGAAAATCCAAAGCCAAGGAAAGAAGAGGGCTGGAAGGAACACAGATGTGAGCAGCTCTGGCAAGGGAGGAGCTGTAGGGAAGGTGTCACGATCCTGCCACCTCCAGCCAGGACAGATCCCTCTACAGGTTTTCTCTGCTTTCTGCGTTTGCATTTCCCATCCCAAGTTATCAAGGACTTGCTCTTTTAAAGAGCACTTTTTAACTTGTGGCACTGCAAGGCCACTTCCCTCCACAGAGACACAGACTATGGAGAACAGCCTCAGATTCCAGTAAGAAACTGTCCACTGAAGGTGGCAATATGAAACTCTCGTGGAAGGTATTGTTTTTGTTTTTGATCATAATCTTTAAAAATATTGATGACTCCCCTTCAGCTTTGGGTCTAATCTGACCCCAAGATCCTTTATTGTCTTGTGTGTCTAATCAATCTTTTCCTATTTTGAGTCATAGGCCTTGATTTTATGGGAAACAAGAGAAGATTGAGGAGAAAGAAAGGGCCCCCAAACTGTAAGGAATAAAATAGGAAGTGCTGACATAGAAATTAAAGGCTCCCTAATTCTGTGCATTTGGGGATAATTTTCATTCCATTTTCCATCCATTTCTTCAAGAGCTAGAAATGAGCAACTCTCACATGCAGGGCACTGTGCCAACTAAAGACTAAGGATGCAGATGAACATCACATGGATCCTGTCTTTGGGGGAGTCCAGAGGATGCTGGATTCCTCTGCTTTTAAACATGCTTCTTCTCCAATCTGTACTCACCCATAGGGGTCCATGGCCCAACCAGAAGTGTCCACGCTAGAGCCTGGAAGAAGCCCATGATGAAAATAATAGGGGCTCAGGGATTAGAAAGTCCCAAAATGGAGACCCTAAAAAAAGACAGGACAGAGAATGAGCCCTAGCTGCTTAGAAGAAGAATCAGGTCAAGGCCTCTGCAGGACTCTGAATCAAGGCCTGGGGCTGGGCCAAGGTCACAGTAGGTAGCAAAGTTCAAGAGACTCACTCTTTCCCAAGATTCTTTAATTCACTCAGCAAATACTTGATAAGCACCCTTTATGTACCAGGCACTGACCTAAACACTGAAGATTAAGTGATGAACAAAACAAACAGAAATCCCTGGTACCTAGCTTCAGGGACTTTATCTTCTAAAATTAGTTGGAAAACCTTGCTTTGGCCCAGCTCCTTGCAGTGTGTTCCTTTGACAGAGACTTTCTTGAGGATCAGGAGACTGGGCTGAGGTCTCAGTGCTGCTGCCAGTCCATGGTGGGGTCTTAGATAAATCACTTCTCCAATCTGATCCTTGGTTTCCTCTTCCAGCTATGGGAGCAAATATGCCTGAACTGTTTACTTCCCAGCATGGTTGCCAGAATCAGATGTGATAATGAAGTTGAATTCAAAGCAAGAAAAGTGACAGGTGTTATGCAAATGTGCTACCGAGAGGGCAGGTGGGAGACTGACGCCTTTGGTTGGATCCAGAAGGGATGCAGTACCAGGTGCTTATGTGTTTAGTGCAGGCTTCCTGCTCTCTCTTTCCACCCAGAGTCAGCAGGGAAACAGAGGCAGCAGAGGAGTCAGGCTGGGACTCCTGAGTGGTGCAAGGAGTACCTAAAGCCAGTGAAGACTTCCTAAGGCAAGCTGGAGGTTGGGGATAGGATAGAGGAAGGAAGGAGCTCAGGGAAAGCCTCATCCCTAGCCAGATATCAGGGCTCCTGGATGGGCTGTCTAGAGAGAGAACCCAGGGAGTGACCTCATCCCCATTCCATCTCCTACTAAACAAATGAAAAAACCTAGGCCCTGCCCTAACTGGAAAGCTCAGTATTCCACCTGCTGTGTTCCACAGAGTCTGTCCAGGTGCTGGCCTTTAATAGTGCGTGAAGAGCTGGGCTCTGGATGGTGGAAGCTGTAAATCTGGATGTACTGAAGTAACCACAGGGATCCTTCCCTGATCCCAAGATGTCCTGGCCCTCCCCCACCTCCAACCATGTCTTCAGGATCCTTGGCACAAACGCTAATGTACCACTCAGCCCCTAAGGGCATGAAGTGCCCTTTCAGGCCAGGCTGTGTGGGATGACCTTAAGAGGAAGGTGGACATGCTTAATAACCACTTCTTGTGGGTGGGTTGCCCTTAATAATTTACACAATGACATGGGGCAGTAACTTCTCAACAACCTTGAGAGGAAGGCACAACCCCAGGACAGAGCAATGAAGCCCCAGGCAGAGCCAGCGGCAGAACCAGAGAGAGAACACAGACCTGCCTGTTCTTGCCCCACATGGCCGCTTTTCCAGCCTGAAGCTCTAGAGTGGTGACCCTGTTGGTCCTGAGGTGTGAGGAAGATGGGTCAAGGTCATCGATTCCAACCTGGGAGGGCTGAGGGGGAAAGCTTGGATCCTAAAGCCCAAAGCTTCCTCCCTGGTATGTTGGGCTGGCGCCAGGAGAAGAATCCTTAGGCCCAGGCAAACTGGGCCACCCAACATTCTCAGGTCCCGAAGAACCCAGTCTCTCAAAACCTTGATTGGGCAGAGGACAGCCCTAACAGGGCCCATTTTAGCCTTAGGATAAGATCCGAAGAGCAAGGGGCTAGCATTCCACTCCTTCAATAACGTGGCCCAGCGGCCGCTCCCCCGACACCCTGCACTTAGAGCTCCCTACCCCGGAGCTCCCCGGCCCGCGGGCTGGGAAAAGCCCTCCCCGATCTGACCTGCGACTACGGCGTCACCGGAGCCCGGGACTGCAACTTGGCTCCGGCCTGGCTCCCAGGTGGGCCCGCGGAGCCTGTTCGCGTCCGGTGCCTCTCCAGCTCTGCGCCGGGACGGGCGGGGCTGGGGGTGAGGAGGGGACGGCGCGGCCCGGCTCAGCAGCGGGGCGGGGCGGGGCGCAGTAGGGCGGGATGGAGGCTGGCGCCGGGGGACCCGCGGAGGTGCTTCAGGGGACCGCAGTGCGCGAGGTGAGACGGCGAGGGCTCGCGGGGCGCAGGTAGAGATGTCCCGTCGGCGTCGAGGGCAGGGCTAGTGCGGTCGTGTGGATGGCAAAAAGGGCAAGTCCGCCTCCACAGGTCCCACGGGGCTGGGGAGAGGCTGGGAGGCGGAGAGGGTGTGGGGAGGGGAGACTCTCCTCGAATCCTCTGGGCACCGTCGGGTCTGGGCTCGGTGTCCAAGACCATTGATCAGCTGCCGCCCACAGACCAGGCCAGGCGTCAAAGCAAGTCACTCATCCGACCTAAACCCTCTGAGAGCCTGGGGTCACGTCTCCCTCCGGGGATCCTCGTGAAATCTCAGGGGTCCCACCGCCCTGCGAGCCGCGCCCATGCCCTGCCAGACCCGGAACTGCATCGCCAGGTTTGCGCTGGAGCTCCTGGGGATGCTGGGCCTGGGTGGGGGGCGCGGAGGAGGGGGTATTGGGGGGACCAATGCGGAGTGGGCAGACCCCGGTGCTATGGTCCTGGCGCACCCAGCTCGTCTCTGTCCGAGGCTGGGAGTGGTAGGCCGCGCTGCGCAGTCTCGGGTGCAGTCTGAGAAGTTTGGGAGTGACTTGAGGAATGACTGGAAGCACCCCAGATCCGGTTTGTCCAGTCACAGCAGGGTCCTTACTTGAGTTAGGAGACGAGCGGGGGTTGGACGGGAGCCCCACAGAGAGTAAGGGCTCGCGTTTGTTCACAGAACCTGGTTCCCTCTTTACTCACACCCCCCGGGGCGCTTTGTGTGAGGTTCCACGAGGGAAGGCGAGAGACGCAGGCTGCCACACACGCACTGTTTGGAAGAGGCGAAAGTAGGGAACTATGGTCCAGGTGTGGGTGGTGGAGGATGCGGTTGCTTAGGTCTGTGTGGTCCAGGTGATTTTGAAGGGGGTGTTGAAGTGCTTGCTCCGGCCCAGGCACCTAGGGCTGTACCTTCTGCTTTCATCCGGACCAAGTTCAGATCAAATGGGAGTTCTTCAAAGAGAGAGTTTGGTAAGAAATTGGGGAGGCAAGGAAAACCTCTTAAAGCCATAAATGCCGCAAGGTTTACAGACATCGAATCCTCATCCCAGTTTAACTGGAGTCTAGGTAGTTTGCCTTGCATGCTTCTACACTCTCGAACTCCTTACCCACATCAGCCCTTCCTGGGGAATGCTGCCCCCAATCCACTTTCAGATCCTGTTCCATTTCTCCATGTAACTCCTATCTCTGTGCAACAACACACATATACATCCATACACAGACACACACATACACACAGACCCCTTCCTTGAAGAGGAGAATCTAGGACAAGAGTTTCTGACAGGGTCCCCTTAGCTAACCACAGCTGTAAACTTTTAATGGGGTCTACCCCAACCAGAGAAAAAAGCATCACATTCCAGTAGCTGTGCATTACCAGTCAGAGGTCTTGGCAACTCCAGCCCTGTCACCCACTCCCATCTTGTGGAGAATTAGTGGTCCTTACTTTATTGGTTCCAGCAGATGGGGGAGGTGGGCAGGGAGAAGACTTCAGGAAGAGAGCCCTGTCAAGCTACAAGAGAAGCCACAGGACATCAGCACATAACTTTGAGGAAGGCTAGAGTTTGTCCTAGGCTGAGTTTTCTTAAGGATTGTAACTTTATGTTTTACCCACCCCTCATACACACATAGGAACTCCAACCTGTGGCAGGTAAGGATTGGGTAACTGTGTCTATTTGTTATAGACAAGATTGAGCATGAGAAAAGTCTTCAGTACATAAAGGGAGCCCAGAAAGGGAGAATGGTGCCTCTTCCTCTCTAGGCCAGGTGAGAAAGGAGAACCCCAAAGTATGGGAGTCTCCCCTCACCCCATGAGAAAGCAATTCAATTTTGTCACAAGGGCCTCTGATGAAATAACACAGGTGTGTATACTACTGAGAATAACAGAGTCTGGGTGGTTCTTGTGTCTTTGTCTCTCTTTATCTAAATTTGTAGGTATATGTTTGACTGTATCTTGTGTCTGCTTATTTATATCAGTGTACACTGTGCATATATCCTAGTCATGGTGGTGAGGTAGGAGAGAAGTGGGTCAAGTTAATATTGATATGGGATTTTATCACATTAAAACTAATTCTACTGGCCAGGTGCGGTGGCTCATGCCTGTAATCCAAGCACTTTGGAGGCCAAGGCAGGCGAATTACCTGAGGTTGGGAGTTCAAGACAGGCCTGACCAACATGGTGAAACTCTGTCTTTATAAAAAACAAATAAACAAACAAAAAAACTAATTCTACTGTGAGATGCTACTTGACAAGCCAGGAAGAAAGATGTTCCCCAGGGAAACACAAGCTCTGTAGGAAAAGCAGGACTGCTGAGTGTGGGGCCTTCTCATTTCAGTCCCACCTCTTCATACAGGAGCCCTGTTAGCTTAATAATGAAAACCAAGCCAGGCACAGTGGCCCACACCTGTAATCCCAGCACTTTGGGAGGCTGAGGCAGGTGAATCACAAGGTCAAGAGATCGAGGCTGTTCTGGCCAACATGGTGAAACCCCATCTCTACTAAAAATACAAAAATTAGCTGGGCATGGTGGCATGTGCCTGTAGTCCTCAGCTACTCGGGAGGCTGAGGCAGGAGAATGCCTGAACCCGGGAGGCGGATGTTGCAGTGAGCCGAGATCGCACCACTGCACTCCAGCCTGGCCCCTGGCAACAGAGCAAGACTGTCTCAAAAAAGAAAACCAAATTAGGGTCAGAGTCATTAAAAATTAACTTCAAATTAGGCACTGCAAATTAAGGAAAACCTAAATTATGAAACTGAACAAGAAGAAATTAAGAAAGGCAAATTTCGTTTACCAACTGTCTTTTTGCTTGTGTCGTCTTTAATAAATATGACATTTGGGAGAGTTAGAAATAAATTAGCATTACTCTTGTATATGTAAAATACAAAAAGCCTTTTGTTAGTGTTTCTTTTCAGCACATGTTAATAGAGATGAAACATTCTTGTAAATTTTTTATAACATCCCTTTAAAACAAATGCAAGAATAATATTTAACCCTGACCAAAATACATTATATTATCTCTTATTCACGTATATTAAAAATACATCTATCTGAATTCCAGCATAGAACATGTTTTCTTGCTGTTAGCCTCGCTTTACCTTCCTATCCTATTAGCCAAGATATTTTATGTTTTATAGGCTTTCCTCCTATGGATTTTTATTTAAAAATATAATAGCTTCAGTCTAGATGTCATAAATAAAAAATTCTTAGATCAGTAAACTTCTGCTTTAAAATAAATGTCACTATCACAAATTTTACAAAATAATTTAATTCTCAAATTCTTAGTTACTCATTTCAGCTAAGTTTGAGATATATGATTCTGATTCAATCAATCATGAAAATTCATATTTGGATCTTTGTTAGCCTTGGAGACTCTTAAGTATTAGAAGAGGCTTTCTGAAAATTTTGAGAAATTACTAATAGTTGACAGGGTTAGTCAAATCCCTTTTTGCCCAGTCCTTTGCTCTGTACTGGTGATATTCAGTTAATATTGAATTATACGTATAGTACAGGGCAATGAGGGAGCAGAGCTCCCCCTTGTGTACAAAATCAGAAGAAGCCACCTGTGGGGAGAGGAACTCATTCATAATCATTCATTTGATCCAGAGCTTCATTAGCATATTCGACATGCAGGGGATGCAAAGATGAAAAGAGGAAGTCTCTGCCCTCAAGGAGATTACAGTCTAATTGGGAGACAGATGTTCAGACAATTAGAGTACAATGTAATCACTGTTATTAGGAAGATATGTTCAAAATGTAATCAGAATGTTCCAAGTGGGAACTCACATTGGCCCAGTGGCATCAGAGGAAACTTCACAGAGGAGGTAACACAAGCTGAGACTTGAGGGGTGAAAAGGCGTTTGCCAAGAGAGTGAGAGCATTCCAGGCAAAGGAAATAGCATATCCAAAGGTACTGAAGGCTTGAAAGAGCATGTCAGATTGAGGGAGAGACCAGTCATTCAGTGTGGCTACAGTTTAGGCTGGGCAAAAGGTGGAGCGAGTATACGGGGGACCAGGTTATAAAGCACTTTATATGTGATAGTAAGAAGATGAGATTTTAGCCAGAGCAGAGAAGTAAAATGATAATATTTATTTATTAGAAAAAAAATTATTCTGGTTGGGCATGATGGCTCGAGCCTGTAATCCCAGCACTTTTGGAGGCCGAGGTGGGAGGAGCACCTGAGGATGGGAGTTCGGGACAAGCTGACCAACATGAAGAAACCCCCATCTCTACTAAAAATACAAAATTAGCCAGGCATGGTGGTACACGCCTGTAATCCCAGCTACTCGGGAGGCTGAGGCAGGAAAATCCCTTGAACCCAGGAGTTGGAAGTTGCCATAAGCCGATATTGCACCGCTGCACTCCAGCCTGGGCAACAAGAGTGAAACTCTGTCTCAAAAAATCTATTTTTTGTTTGTTTGTTTAGAAAAAAAAAATTATTCTGGAACTAAAAGATAGGATGAGCCTGGGTTAGAGCAGAGGCATGTATTTCCTTTGTAGGAAAGGAAATACATGGATAGTTTCAAGAAGTATTTAGGAGGTAAGATGGTCCAGGTGTCTGACTTATTTGATTGACCAGTGGTGACATTGCCAAACATGCAAAGACAATAGAATAAAAAGCAGTATAGAGACAATGAATTCCATTTGAGGGGCTTTAGATTTGAGGCATCAAGGGAACATCCAAATGAAAATGTCCACAGGGTGGTTGGCCCTTTTGAGTTTGGAGCTCAGACAGGAGTACTACCTGAAGACATTTGAGAACCATCAGCCATGAGAATGGATGAGATTGCTCAGGGAATCATGAATACTGCTAAAAGAATAGAGTCATGACAGATTTATGGGGAGCATCAACATTTAACATGGAGGAAAAAGAACTAGTAGAGGAGCCACAAAGAGATGGCCAAGAGCAGGAGCCCCTGGAGGACATGTGTGATGGAAGTGCAAGGAGGTAGTTTGGAGAAAGGGGGCATGGTCTCCAGTGTCACATACCACGGAGAGGTCAAGGAGGATGAAAAGTGAAAACTGCTCTTTGGATTTAACACTTAGTGGCCTAATGGAGAAGTCAGGGATGAGGAAAAGTCAGGTTGCGATAGGTTGAAGAGATGAGGCAGTGGAAATACCAATATACGTTGTTTTTTCAAAAGCCTGACTGTGAAAGGAATAGAGTAAAATAGAATGGTAGCTGGAGGGGACCAAGGAGATCCAGAGAGAAGGTTCTTTTTCTGTGTGTTCCTAAGGTGGGAAAAATTTAATTGTAACCTTGAAAGAAAGAGCCAGCAGAGAAAATGAAGCTGGAACACTATGAAGGGAAGAGGGACAACCGATGATAAAGGTGGTGGAGAAGGCAGGCATGAATGGGCTAGAGCCCAGGAGGATGGATTTGCAGAACAGGAGAGAAGAGAGATGCCTATTCTTCAGGGATGGGAGAGTTGAGTAGTTAAGAAAAAGCAAAAAACCAGGCTGGGCGCAGTGGCTCATGCCTGTAATCCCAGCACTTTGGGAGGCCAAGGCGGGCAGATCACTTGAGGTCAGGAGTTCGAGACCAACCTAGTTAACATGGGTGAAACCCCATCTCTACTGAAAACACAAAAATTAGCCGGGCATAGGGACGCACGCCTATAATCCCAGCTACTCGGGAGGCTGAGGCAGGAGAATCGCTTGAACTCAGAAGGTGGAGGTTGTAGTGAGCCAAGATCGTGCCACTGCACTTCAGCCTGGGTGACAGAGTAAGACTCCATCAAAAACAAACAAACAAACAAAAAACCTTCATGTTAAAACTGACACTTAGGGGTTAAGTGACTTGCACAAAAGACAGAATTAAAAGTTAAAACTTTGTGTCCTTCTGTCTCTTTGCCTGATGCCATGCTACTCCCAGAGATAGCACAAGAAGGTGCCCAGCTTAGAAGGAGAGAGGAAGGCTGGGAGCTAGAGCATATTAGGAGAATCCCAGCATTAGAACTAGAAGGGACCTGGAGATGATGAAATCGATTTACAGATGAGGAAACCAAGGACCCAGGAGGTTGTCGCTTACCTGTGCAATATTAGTAAAGAACTGAAACTAGACACAGAATGGATTCCAGCTCAGGGTTCACTTGAAGAAAGATTGGAGAGGCTGGACATGGTAGTTCATGCATGTAATTCTAGCACTTTGGGAGGCTGAGGAGGGTGGATTGCTTGAGGTCAGGAGCTCAAGACCAGCCTGGCCAACATGACAAATCCCTGTCTCTGCTAAAAAATTTAAAAATCAGCGGGTGTGATGGTGCATGCCTGTAATCCCAGCTACTCAGGTGGCTGAGGCATGATATTTGCTTGATCCTGAAAGGTGGAGGTTGCAGTGAACCAAGATGGTGCCGCTGCATTCCAGCCTGGGTGGCAGTGTGAGACTAAAAAAAAACCAAAAAGACAAAAAAACTTAAGAACTTAATAAAAAATTTAAATGTACTCCTTTTTTATTTACTTAAGAAAAGAAAAATTGGAGAAACAGATAAATGGAGTAATAAGCAATGAAATGCCCTCTCTTTCCCAAGCTGGTAGCTTATTTCCAGTACTTTTCTTAGCACTTTATATACACAATCTCATTTCATCCTCACAATGACACTTACAAGATAGACATAATTATCTCAAAGTTTTAATAAAACTGAGTGTCTATAGATGTCAAGTGACTTGCAAGAGGCAGAAGCAGAATTCAGACCCTTTGGAGCTGCTTGACTCCCACGCTCATTCTTTCATTATAACTCTTTATAAGACAATGTGTAGTCAAACTAAATTATGGAGCCTTCTGGGCAAACTGAAACCCCAGTACAGATCACACTTCAGGAAATGAGGAAAACTGGGATCATGGACTCTAAGATGCATTTTTTTTTTCACATTTTGACATCTCTGAAATTAGGTATATCTCACCAGGAATGGTGGCCATGGTTTAATCAGCAAGACTTTCTTTTCCCCTTTCTTTGTGCTAGCTAAAATAGTAGTGTGTCTTGCAGTCGGTTCTGATATTTGACTAAACACAGTAAGTTCAGCTACCATTTTCCCAATATCCTGTCTGCAAAGGAACAAATAAGAGTCAAACAAGTTCTGAAATCAAGGGACGGGCAGAGAAGACCACAGCTAGGGTTTGACCTAAAACTTGGCCTGGGAATTTGAATCAGAGAGAAGGACCAATGTTGATCGCATGTGGAAGAGAAGGCCATCTGGCCCCAGCACTGCCTGATAGAGGGCAGGGCCCCTTCAGTGCTTATTTAAGTGAACTCAGTGAAGCTCAACTGTTCTGCAGTTGCCAGAACAAGAGCCAGGGTGCTTGAGAAAGCTGGACAGACCTGTGTAGGTCTGCAACATCCTCTGATGATGTGGCTGGATTATATACTCAGCAGAGAGCTGCCTGGCCTTTGTTTCTTCGGGGACTGAGAAAGAAAGTCAATCTTTTTGTAATTTGTACCATCTTTCACCTATGCCTTCACCTGATAGTAAATATAGTCCTTTTATGTTCTGTGATCTATCTGTGCTAGGGCCCTGAAGGAGAGAGAAGAGAATTATATTTCTTGAGACAGTCCCAGAAGTAACAGAGAAGCCTCAAGGGTGGTGGTAGCACTGATTTATGGAACTTGGGGGTTAGGAGAGGAGCATGGGCAACAGAGACTGATGGCAAAGACCCTCATTCTGTCACCTAAAAGATGGGGAGATGGATGGCTGAGGCGGTAATAGCCAAGTCTGATGCTGCACAAAATGTGAGCTCTAGAGAAGAGGGACTTGGTCTGGCTCATTCTGTGCTATATCTCTAGTGCCAAAAACGGTGCCAGGTACATTGAGGGCATGCAATATATGTCTGTTGTTGTTGTACAGCATTGCCTCCCCTGCACAACCCCACCAAAATGGCTGCTTTGGGACACACGTTCCCCTTCTATGCTGGCCCCAAGCCAACCTTCCCAATGGACACCACTTCGGCCACCATCGTCATGATCTTTCTGACTGCACTGGCCACTTTCGTCGTCATCCTGCCTGGCATTCGGGGCAAGACGGTGAGAAACCCAGTCCTGGAGACCCCAGCCCAGAGAGACCTTAGCCTCAGGCTGAGGGGTCCAGAGTCTCTGACTACAACCAGACTCAGGAAGGAGATCCCAGTGCTGAGAAAGCATCAGCACCACCCCAGGCACAAAGCCCCTCATTCATTGATTCAACAGTTCGTTATTGAGCGTTGGTGGGGCATGGTGGCTCATGCCTGTAATTCCAGAACTTTGGGAGGCCAAAGTGGAAGGCTTGCTTGAGCCCAGGAGTTCAAGACCAGCCTGGGTTTATAGACCTCATCTCTTAAAAAAAAAAAAAATTAGCTTGTGATGTGCATCTGTAGTCCCAGCTACTTGGAAGGCTGGGGTGGGAGGATCACTTGAGTGGCTACAGTGATTTGAGATCACATCACTGCATTCCAGCCTGGGCAACAGAGATCCTGTCTCAAATAAATAAATAAGCACTTATTATATGCCAGACACTCTGATTTCAACTGACCAAGTTATCTCAGCTTTAGAATTCCCACCCTTCCCCCAAGTCTGGAAACAGGAAGGGTAGACATGGAAGGAGGGCGCTCCTTACTTAACCCACGCTCCTTGCCACTCAGAGGCTGTTTTGGCTGCTGCGGGTGGTGACCAGCTTATTCATTGGGGCTGCAATCCTGGGTGAGTGTGAAGTGCAGCTGACTTGGACAGCTGTCTCCATCCCATCAACTCCCTCAGCAGCCTTCCTCTCCTCTCCTTGTTTCCCCACAGCGGTGGGCCCCTGCTTCAGGGTGGCTTCCAGACCCTGCCCATATGCCTTTCTCACCATGGCCTTATCCCCTTACTCTTACCTTGGCCTGGAGAGGTATCACCCTGGGAAACAAGCTGGATGCATCTCCCCAACCTTCCTAACATTTTTATTGCTGGGAGTGGGGGTGGGGAAAGGAGGTCAAAATGCATGTCTGTGGGAAGAGGGCTCCAGGGAGGAGGGGAGGAAATGGGGAAGGGCTGTTTGCTTTGACTTGGTGATTAGGCAAATAGGAGAGATGAAAGTCCTTATGAGACGGGGCACAGTGGCTCACTCCTATAATCTCAGCACTTTGGGAGGCTGAGGCGGATGGATCCCCTGAGGTCAGGAGTTCAAGATCAGCCTGACCAACATGGGGAAATCTGTCTCCACTAAAAATACAAAAATTAGCTGAGCATTGGGGCGGGCACCTGTAATCCCAAATACTTGGGAGGCTGAGGCAGGAGAATTGCTTGAACCCGGGAGACAGAGGTTGCAGTGAGCCAATATTGCGCCATTGCACTCCAGTCTGGGTGACAGAGCAAGACTCCATTAAAAAAAAAAAAAAAAAAAAGAGAGAGTCTCTGTGTTCAAGCTGTCTGTGTTTGCCTTGCCCAGCATAGTTTAGGTTCATGCTTCCTTCCCAGCTCCCTGAGTAACTCTCCCTAAAGCAGGTAGAAAGGGAGGCAAGAGGAAGAGGTAAAGAGTGTGACCAAGGGAAATCCCACACATATGGTTGGCAGACTCACCCTGAGCCAGACCCTGGCTAGTTAATAGGTATCCAATTATGACCAAAACAGACATAGATGCCTTGTAGCTCTTCTGACTCTAACCTAGTAATGCCTCAACCTCTCTGAGTTCCCATATGTCCAACTCCCCAACCCCAGCTGTGAATTTCAGTTCTGAGTGGTCTGTGGGCCAGGTCAGCACCAACACATCGTACAAGGCCTTCAGTTCTGAGTGGATCAGCGCTGATGTTGGGCTGCAGGTCGGGCTGAGTGGAGTCAACATCACGCTCACAGGTGAGGGGGGGCTCTTACCTGTGAGGGAGGGACGGCTCTGTTGTCTTTGGGATCTATGTTTGGTGTGGTCCAAAGAGCTATAGGATGCCTGGCACTGGGGCTGGGAGGATGTGTGGGTGTTGGAGGCATGGTAGGAAGGGAAGTTCAGGGCCTTGGAAGCTGCCTTCTCTCAGTTGAGACCACTTCCTGTCCCTCTGCCCAGTGTGGGTGAGTCCCTACCTAGGCCCCACTGTGGCCCTTGGGTTCCTGCAGAGCACAGCTGCCTTGTTCTCCAGGGACCCCTGTGCAGCAGCTGAATGAGACCATCAATTACAATGAGGAGTTCACCTGGCGCCTGGGCGAGAACTATGCTGAGGCATATGCAAAGGCGCTGGAGAAGGGGCTGCCAGACCCTGTGCTGTACCTAGCCGAGAAGTTCACTCCGAGAAGCCCATGTGGCCTGTACCGCCAGTATCGCCTGGCAGGACACTACGCCTCAGCCACACTGTGGTGAGGATGGGAAGGGGATGGGGTGGAGGCCCTGGCAGCCTAGATTCAGGAACAGGGTTTCTACCCATCTCTTCTCCACTCATATGGGTATATGAGGTGGGACAGGCTGGCACTAGTCCCCATGGTGCTGGCTTGGGAAGTCCATGGGAGGGAATCCCTACCTCCTATCTTTGGGTCACTCTTGGGTCCCCGAGCCTACACCTGGGCCTGTCCAGCTTCACTAGCAGGTAGAGGTACGCAGGCCAGTCCTCACTGGGTCCTGGCTCTCCAGGTTGGCATTCCTTTGCTGGCTGCTGGCCAACGTGATGCTCTCCATGCCTGTGCTGGTATACGGTGGCCACATGCTGTTGGCCACGGGCATCTTCCAGCTGTTGGCTCTGCTCTTCTTCTCCATGACCACATCACTCACCCCACCCTGTCCCCTGCGCCTGGGTGCTTCTGTGCTGCTTACTCACCATGGGCCTGCCTTCTGGATCACACTGACCACAGGTAAGACCCAGCCCTAAAGACAGGCACTGGAAGGCTCAGGGCCAGGGAGGGAGGACCTGGGAGCATCATGTTGGTAGAGTTGAGGGTCTGTTCCTGGGGGCCAGGATGGCTTTACCCTCTTCAAAGACTCACCCTCTTGTATCTCTTATCTCCTGCTTTTCTCTCCTCAGTGCCACTTCCCCTCCCTCCTCAGAGGTGCCCCCTCCTTGTGTCTTCTCTGTCTCTCATCCCCTAACTCTCTTCACCCAGCTGCTTCTAAAATCTTCCAACCCCGGTCCCCTCTTGCTTCTTCCAAATACCCTTCTCTGTGTCCCCATTCTTAAAACCTTTCTCTGTCCTGCCTTACACAGCCCTAAATTCTCCTGCAGTTTTATTCTCCTCTCCGATTCCACTGTCTACCCCCTCATGTGCCTCTTCATGCCTCCTCCTCTGTGCCCTGCCCTTCCCCAGGGTTTTTCTTTCCTCTCCCTATTTTCAGAGTTCTCTCTCTCCCCCTTTCTCGCTCTCTCTCTCTCCTGGGATATAACGAAGGAGCACTGGGCTTGGAGTCTGGAAATTCAGGACAACAGGGTTGCTGGAGCCGAAGGCCCCTCAGCCAGTCACCTCTCTGAGCTTAAGTTGCCCTGAAGCAGGGCCTCCAGGCCTCCCTTAGAGCTGTTCTGACGCTCCCAGGGGACGGACGATGTCCTCACTAGGTGTTACTAGCACTAAGGTGGGACAACTGTTGCCTTCGTCTGCAGGACTGCTGTGTGTGCTGCTGGGCCTGGCTACGGTGGTGGCGCACAGGATGCAGCCTCACAGGCTGAAGGCTTTCTTCAACCAGAGTGTGGACGAAGACCCCAGGCTGGAGGGGAGTCCTGAAGAAGGTGGACTCCTGAGTCCCCGATACAGGCCCATGGCTGACAGTCCAGAGCCCCAGGACATCCCCCTGTCAGAGGCTTCCTCCGCCAAGGCATGCTGTGAGGAGACGCACCCCAGAGAACCTGAATGCGCCCTATAACACCCCTGCCCCTGGAAGCCGCCTGGACTTCCAGTCTGGCTTCGAACCTCATTGGAGTCCCATAAAACCAGCAGAATTGCCCTCAGGGTGGCTGGTACCAGACCCCCAGCACCAATCTACAGACGGAGTAGAAAAAGCAGGCTCTAGATACTGATGTTAAAAAACAACAACAGCAAAAAGCCCTCAGGGGCTGAAGAGAAGATGGGCTTGTCCATAAAGCCTGTTGCCATAAGACCAAGCAGGGGCTATCTCTTCTCTGCACAGCAACCCTGCCTTTGTGTGATGCCTGGCCTCTTCAAGATGCTATTCACTGAAACCTAACTTCACCCCCATAACACCAGCAGGGGGGAGGGGGGACATATGATTCTCCTATGGTTCCCTCTCCTCCCTCCGCACCTCTTGTTTTCCTTTTTCCTGTTGTTCCTCCTTTACTTCCCCAGATGTGTGACCTCTTCGTACAATGAAAGACAACACCAGAAAGGAGAGGAAACAACTTCTCAGCCCAGGTCTAACATTAACCAACTAGGCCACATTCTCTGAGCTTCAGTTCCCAAGTTTGCTTAATAAGATTGCAGGACTTGCCAAGAATCTCGGGATTTATATTTCTATACCTTGCTGACACCTACCTTGGCCCTCAGACACCACCTCACAAGAAGCCAGGTGGGAAGTCAGTGAATCAATTCCAAAACGCTACTCCTTCCCAGCTCACTCAGCTGGGCTAGCTGAGTGGGATCCAGGAACGGGAGTGGGTGACCTGCCTCATGACTACCACCTAACGTCCACCTGGGGTGGCTCAGGAAGATACAGGCTCCGGTAGGGCCCCCTCCGGCCTCAGTAGAGGGCGCCCGCGTTACTCTGGAGTCTAGACGCAGAGAATCCGGTTTCACAGCACAGTGGAGAGTGTACTAGGCTGTCTCCATCCAGCCCAGCGAAGCTCCCGAGGGCGTGCTTCCCCACGACCCCGGAGCGCAGAAGCCATGAAAATTAATGGGGGGAAAAGTTTTTAAAAAAAATAAAAGAAAAAAAAGTTTATTTACAGCTCGCCCCAGGAGACTTTCCCTGGTGCCTGCGGATGTCTGAGACCTCGCCCCTGGCTCTCAGCGCCAGCAGCACGTAGTGCCCCTTCCGAAGCTCTCCTGGCCCAGGCCTGGGGGCACTGCTTCCCGGCCTGCGAGGTCCCAAGGCGGGGAAGGAGTCCAGATTGGGTCCTTCTCACAGGTTAGTGGTGATATATTTTAAGTCCGGGAGCCCGGCCTGCTTCTGCAGTGGGTTGCCGAGGATAAGAGGTGAGCCCCCTCTCGCCTGGCTGCAGTCCTCGGCGCTTTGGTCCAGAAGGGTGCGAAGAGCGCTGGGCCGAACATAGTGGAGACTCACCACGGCCCCTCCAAGGAAGAGGCACAGGATGCCTGTGGCGGTGAGGACCGAAAGAAAGGAGGGCAGGTGGAGTCAAGCTATATTGCCCAGGCTGGTTTCCAACTCCTGGTCTCAAACGACCTTCCTGCCTCTACCTCCCAAAGTCCTGGGATTACAGACGTGAAGTACCGCGCCTGGCCCCTCTCATCTTTCGGAGTCTAGGTCTTGCGTTACCTCCCCCGGCCCCCTACACATCCTCTAATCTGGATTACATGAAACAAGGCAAGACACCAAACCCTTCTGAGCCCCCTTTTCATCTGTAAAATGGTCATAACAGTGCCTGTTTCTTTGAACTATTGAGAGGGGCAAATCAGATAATAGATGTGGATTCATTCTATAAACAGGAAAGTGCACACCCGGTATGAACCCTCCCCCGGAGAATTCCGCCGCGCCGCCGCTATCCCAGCGCCGGGCTTTGGCGCTGGGGTAGGGACAAAGGGAAGCGAGGCTTTGGGAACCCTGGTGGGCTGGAGAAGCCCGCTCACAGCTGGTGCCCCCAGTTCCCTGCAGGGTGGCGTTCTGCCGTTCCCTCGGTCCTCACCGGTTGCCAGCGTGACCCAGAAGGCGGTACCGTACTGAGTGGTGAGCGCGGAGGAGCCTAGGCGGAGCGGACAGAGCGGCACTGTGGAGATGGAGGCCCAGGAGAAGATCGCCAAGAGCACGAAGGCTCCGGTGGTCAGCAGTGCTAGGCCTCCGTAGAGCGGGGCCGGCGTGGAGAGCAGCATGTTAGAGAGGAGCCAGAAGCAGAACGCCACCCTGCAAGGGAGTGGGGGGACCGGCTGTGAGTGGGCTTCTCCCAGCCCGCCGGGGTTCCCAAAGCCTCGCTCCCCTAGGTCCCAACCCCAGCGCCAAAGCCCGGTGCTGGGATGGCTGCAGCGCAGGGGAATTCCCCGGGGGAGAAGTGGGCTCCCGAGCTCCAGGCGGTGGCTAGAGTCTCTCTGGATTCCGACGGTCTCTGCAAGCCTCGTGATCTTCTGACCCGCGAGGCTGTCATGCCCACCCCTAGCGCGTCTGGTCTGGCTGCAGCTGCTCAGAGCCTTTGAGGCCTGCATCCTCCCGCTCACACGGCCCGGCTCCCGGCGCACACACGTGCACACGGCCTTCCCTCCAGTGCTTACCACAGCAAGGCCGAGGCGTAGTGTCCCGCCAGGTGGTACTTGTGGTACAGCCCGCAAGGGCTACTCGGTGTGAACTTCTCCGCCAGGTAGAGCACTGGGTCCGGCAGCCCTTTCTCCAGTGCGTTAGCGTACTCCCCGGCGAAATTCTCTTTCAGACGCCAGGTGAACTGCTCGTTGTAGTCAATGGTCTCATTTAGCTGCAGCACTGGGGTCCCTGCGGAGTGCCGCGGGCTTACCGGCTGCGCGCGGTCGGAGAACTCGCGACTAAGCGGATTCAGATGGGAGAGCGGGGATGCGGCGCTCACGGAGGGAGAAATGGGTTCGATGGTGGTTGGAGAAAACGCAGACCCAGGAGGACCACAAGCTATTTGAGCTTGTGGGATGTGAGAGGCCCTTCAGCTATCCCTGACACACTCTCCTAACCAGGGATCTCCCAACCCCAGGAGTTCACTTCGCCCCAGCCCCCTCACCTGTGAGTGTAATATTAATGCCCTCCAGGCCCACGAGCAGACCGACGCGGGCTCTAACGCGCTCTGCGCTGAAGGCCTTGTAGGATGTGTCAGTGTTCACTTTACCCACGAACCACTCTGCACTGAAGTGCACAGCTGTAGGGAAAGGTGAGATGAAGGTGGGAAAATGGAATTAGAGAGTGGTGATGGGAGGTGGGACACTGCAGAGAGATGGGGACTTAGAGGTCCAATGTGGTTGCATGGTAAGGGCCAAAAAGTGGGCCCTAGAAAGAGCTGGAGAGAGGGAAGAGGGAGCAGAAAACCAACCCCAGTTCCCTATTGTCCCAGGTGTCCTCTGCCCACCTCCGTTCTCACCCACTCCTCTCCCCACGGGCTGGACCACACACTCACCCACGATTTCAGCGCCTATGAACAGACTGAGAAGAATTCTCACCAACCAGAACCAGCGCTGCAGGAATAGGCACCCGGGTCAGGCCTGAGCCCTGCCCAACCAGAGTCCCCAAGACCACCTTTGACCCCACTCCATCTGGATCTTTGGTTACATCCAGACCTATGAGACTAATGCTAGGCATGCTTTTCCTGCAAGTCCCTCTGGACTACTGGCATTTCTGATGTTTTGTGACCATGTGCTTTCACCACCCTAGCCCCATTTTCTGTCTACCCTAAGAGCACCTTCCCCTCACCCCCCACTTCTAGTACTCTTCCACCACCTTCACTCCCCCAGCTGCCTCCTGGTCCAGTCACTGCTTGGTAAGGCTCAGTTAGTCCAGAAGTGCTAGGCATGCAGGGGTCACCTCCCTCAGAAGAGGGAGGCCCCAGGGCCTGGTCTCCAAGTGGAGGAGGTGGGAATGCAGATACTCCTAGGTGTACCAGTTCCAGGGAAACCAAAACAGTTTAATATGCAGAAAAGCTGGGTCCTCCAGAATTGAAAAATGCACAACTTAGGCGCTGGGGGAAGGGGAACTCTAAGAAAATGCACCCAGTTGGCTCCAACTTCCAATCCAATGTAGGAGTCTCATTCCTTAGGATGGGGTACTCATACACGTGTGTCTTGACTCAGTGCAAAGGGGAACACTGCAATCTGAGCTACTGGCATCTGTCCTCTTGGCTCGAAGGTCATCACCCTCAGGATGGGATGAGAGTGCAGCTGCATCCTGGGAGAGGTGGGAGGCCCTGGATGCACATGAAGTCTAGACTCTGCCTCAGGATTACTGGACTGGGTGCCCATTCTCTGCAGCAGCCTTCCCAAGGACCCAACTCGGGTCCTTCTTCAGGATGTGCTGGATGGGGAGTTCTCCCTGTCCTTGGGAAGGGGTGCTTGCTGCAGCAGACTCCTGACTTCGCTCCACCTGAGCCTCAGTTTGACTATTCATGGAGGCCCTTGCACAGTCTTACCTGTTCTGGGTCCCTCAGGGGACAATTTGCCCATGACGACTCCCCCCACTCTACGCGAACTACTAAGACACCCTTACCGAGTGGCCACGGATCCCGGGCAAAATGAGCAGGAAGCTTGCTGCTAACGCCAAAAACACTAGAATAACGATGAGCAGTGGGACGCTGAAGCCTGCCGCATGCCGGGACTGGGGGTAAAAAGGCAGTACGCCGTTCCACAGGGTCATGCTGCAGGGTGGCCGAGAGCTGCACGCAGGAGGGCAGGCAGGCCGGCAAGCTGGGGCTGCCTGGATGCTGGAGAGCGCGTCCTTGGCGCCTCTTCGCGTACAACGCCGGCACCAAGTGGGCTGGTGAAGTCTGAGTTCTGCACCTCTCCGCTAAGGAAACGTAGCGGCAGGCTGCTCCCAACGCTCTGGGGTTGATGCCGACAGAGTTTGGTTAGTTGGCGAGCGAAACTATTTCTCACTGTCTGTAGCCAGTTACTTTCCTGGTTCTCCGGGTTCGCGCTGAGTTTGGAAGTCGCGCGGGACCCCTTTTATAGCAGCGTGGGCGGCGTGCCACTCAGGTGTCCCAGCCCAGCGGCCGAGTCCCAGCGGAAAGAGGTTATGCAAATAAGGGCCCCGCCTGCACAGCAGGAGGGTGAGCCCTGGGTCCAGATGCTCAGATTCGGCGCAGGTCTGTCCTGAGCCAACACCGGCGAGGCTGTGAGACCGAAGACCCAGAGAGGAAGGTGAGAGTGCAGCCAGGGCGGCTGAGGATCAGCGGAGCTGGAGGAGCGGGGGTGAAGGCAAGAAGTAGAGCACAGAAGTGAAGATTTTTAAGAGGCAAGAAGACATCTGAACCCGACACCACCATAAACCACAGGTTAGATCAGTTTGGGACCGAACCTTAGCCCTCGCTCATCACGGACAGGCGTTCATTGCAGAAGGGGAGTTCATTGGGGAAGGGGGATTCATTGCGGAAGGGTGCTGCAGGTCCTTAGCTCCCAACTCAGTAGCCTCTTTTCCTTCCCTACCTCCTGGAGGAGAAGCGGAGCCTGTCGGATTAGTGCTAGTGATGGAGGTGATACATTCGAGACATTGGGCGCACCAATGCCCCAGGAGACTCCTGCCCAGTGGGTTCCTA